GAAGATAAGCCATTACTGTGGAGTTGTCCGTGGCAACCAGTAGTGACTGACCCTGAATCACAGCCTGAAAATGAAGGAGAGAAAGTAAGACAGATCTCATCTCTAAAAGATTGATGGGTTCCTCCAGCTGAGCACCTGACCAAAGACCCGAAGCTGTTCTGCCCTCCAGATAAGCTCCCCAACCCATCAAGCTCGCATCTGTGAACAGAGGTAGACTGGGGTCTGGAGGATGGAACAAAACTCCCTTCAGAATATGTTTCTCCTGAAGTTACCACTGAAGATGAGGTAACAACAGAAGAAACTCCGTCAGATACCACTGGATAGGACGAATGTGTAGACGTCCTAGTGGAATGACGTCCATGATAGATATCAAGAAACCCACCAGCTGAAGAAATTGACTAGCTGGAACAGTTGAAAACTGCATCAGAGCACTGACTGACTGATGTACCTTGATTACCTTCTCTTCTTGAGGAAGAACTAGACCCATATCTGTCCGAAAATGTTCTCCCAGGAAAATGAAATCTTGACTGGGAATTATCTCTGATTTTTCCCAGGTAATAAAAAAAAACAGTCTCAGAAATTGGATAGCCAGAACGTTCCTCCAGAAGCGATCGGCAATGATTCTTGATTAGAGAATCGTCTAGCTATAGGTAGTAGTGAATGAGTACCGCCTGAGTATGTAGATAAGACACTACAGTCTGAAAAGAGAAGGCTTTGTGTCGATGGAGATGGAATTGGCTTTGAGTTTTATATCCATATATATATGGATATAAAACTCAAAGCCAATTCCATATATATTGATATAAAACTCAAAGCCAATTCCATCTCCATCGACACAAAGAAAAATGAATGCCACAGAAGACAGTGAGACAGAAACTAAAATTAATGATGATTTGCCTGAGACGCATCAATAATATATATATATATATTTGCATCTCATGTTTGCAGTATACCATCTTTTCCGCAAGTTTATTGTTTTCTGTTTGGTATTAAATTAATAATTAAGATCCATTTTGTTACATCTGGTGTCCGTTTATTTGGCAATCACCATGGCAGTCAGCAGTGTTTAAGAACATCCGTTGTTCGACCTGCTAGTCAAATGCGTTTGGTTAAAATATGCTTTTTCACTCATTTGGTCTTTTGGAAAATGTTGTTTGTGCTGTATTTAGACCCCTCTACCAAGAAATTTGTTTTGCATGCATACGTATAAAAATTTCAGTTTTTATCCAACGCAATCATAGGTTTGAACGTTGTTTTCAATTTAGACTTGTATCTATATATATATATATCGCATGTGTACATTTTGTGTCCTATTCTATTGACGTCTGCATTAACAATGAGCCAACCTTTTATTGAAAGTCAAATATATATGAATATTGCTTAGTTTGTCTCGTTCCTTTTCTTTTCATTCTATTGTACGACCAAAAATAATCCTTGCTAGACTGATCTACGTCCTATTTTTTTTTTTTTTTTTTGCTTGATACGGTTTTTATTGAATCGCCGTCACTTATGGCAGATGAAACGACATGTTTCCATGCCAGTATCTCTCAGTTTAACTGAATAGCCCTAGATCTTTTGATGGCTTGCATTTTAAGCAGGTTTGCATATTGTTTTGTGCCTTCTATCGGGCTTAGTAGTGATATTTGGAGATATGTCTTATGTTGTAGATAATAATACTATGTATAACTATGAAAATGATAACACCCTATCGTATCTACAATTTGACACTAATGATTGATTAACAAATATTTACGACAAAAGGGGTTATTTCAGCTTTCCAATTGTTCACTTTCCATTTCTATGTATTAACATTCAAGCAGCGCCTGTATATGGAGTATATATCTACCAGTTGATACGATATTCCAGAGCTAGGTTGTTTCTAACAAGGAAGCTATTATGCCGAGAGTTCCAAGTGCTGAATTAAGTTGAAGTCCTCTCTTCGAAAGCGTTACGGACACCATCACGAGTTGGTTGTCCTTTACGGATAATGCGAGTCACGTATGACCACGGATGTATTCCAATTGTCATAGTCAAAATACCGTCCTCTTTTTCTCGATTGTGACATGATCGGATGAGACTCATTCACGAGTTTATAATTACCATGGGTAACACGACGGGATGACACAAGTGGAGTAGTAGGATCTTTTTACCCTTCCGGAGCACCTGAGATCGCCCCCAGTTTTTCTGGGAGGTCGTGTTGTTCAGTTCTTGTTTTTTCTATGCAGTGGTTCAAATCAGTGTGAACTTTTTTGTCTTTTCGTCTTCTTTCATTTTTTGCCATGGTGTTGTCGCTGGACATGTGAGTTTTGGATGTCCCCTTTGTATCTTCTGCCTCTTTTTATGCAAGTCGTGACTTTGAAAATGTAATTGAAAATCAGAGTGATAGTTTTAAAAAGCGGGAGATATTGGAAATGATTTAATGCAAACGGATCCAGGTAAATTTAAGGCTTTCGTCATTGGAAATAAAACTTTCAATAAAAAAATATTGTGTTCAATTGAAGTGGAAATGAGATAAGAGTGTGGAAAAGATGTAAATTACTTGATGTCACGATAGATTATATATTAAATTTTGATGAGCAAGTACCAGAAATCAGAAAAAAAGCACCAAGACAGCTTAATGTTTTGAAAAGAAATAGAAAATACCTCAAGAAATTAGACAGATTCCATATATATTATTCATCAATATTGTCATTTTTGAAATAATAATTTACCAATTAAATTGCACTTCTGAAGTGAAAACAAAAATGCAATTAAGATTGAGAAAATACAAGAACGAGCTCTAAGATTTATTAATAATGATTATATTTTATTCTTTACTGATCTGCTAGAAAAATTAAAATGCCTTTATTGAAATAAACAAATGCTCTGTATAGCTTTAGAAACTTTTCAAATTGTGAACAAAAAACGTCTTGCGTATTCACATAGTCTGGTAAGTATAAAAACACATAATTATTCTTTTATACGAAATCAAACAGAAGATATTATGCTTCTTAATTATGGAATTAGCTGCCCAACTATTTTGGGCACAGGACGTTTGCGCTTCTTTACCTGTAACACGATAGGACATTTGCGCTTTAAATTCGATACACCTGTACAGTAGTAAATTGACCGGACATTTGCGCTTTTTACCTTTAGTCGTCTAACTGTAATCTTAATGAATTACGTAAATAAATGCAACTTGTATTTGTCGTTAGATAGTTCACATTGACACAGTCTTAAACATAGAGTATAAAGTTATAGAGACAAGTAAAGGAACAAAATGTATATGTCACGATGGAGTTTTATCATTGAACAACAGTCGGTTGAATACATTAAAATTCTTTATATTGTTGAACAGGCATCTCGGTCAAGAATTGAGAAATAGAGACTAGAATTTGAAATGAGGGCGAAATATCAGTCAGGACAGATTACAAGAGCAAAATTGTTCATTCCTTGGGCTTCATATATCAAGCGAAAACTTACCTGTGATAACTATGCGTGTCTTTGGTGTCTTTATAATGTTTACTTTTAGGTATATATAACTATATATCAATGTGCTATGAAATTACTTTTAAACACCAATGTGCTATGTAATGACTATTTAACTTTTAACCATAAAGAAAATATTGTAAAAGCGCAAATGTCCTATACAAAAAGCGCAAATGTCCATATTTAAAAAGCGCAAATGTCCAATGAATTGAAGCGCAAATGTCCATCAAAAAAAGCGCAAATGTCCATTAAAAAAAGCGCAAATGTCCTATGAAAAAGCGCAAACGTCCCGCGCCGACTATTTTAGACTAGAGACATATTTGGAACAGTTTACAAAATATATTTCTCATGGAATGGCAGCTCATTTGTGTTGTTAAAGTGCTTTATTTTATGTTTTATTTTTTTTATATTATTTTGCATGATATGCTGATTTGCTTACTACATTAAGTTAAAGTGCTTTATTTTATGCTTTAATTTGTTATCAAATTTTGTTTTCTACGCTTATCTGCTTCTTACATTCAAGTCCTTTTTGATCATATAGCTCTTCAACTGTTTCGGTTCTAATACATCATTGGCTTTGAAATGTTCGGCTTTGGGCGTTCCTGATGAAGGTAGATGCATAAAAAGCGCTTCGGACGCATGAAATTTATAACTTGAGGTTTTCATTTTATACAGCACTGGCCGGTCGAGGTCGATACCTCTGCTGGTGGAGTATCAGTCAGGGCTCGGGGTATCATCAGCTCAGTAGTCAGTACTTCGGTACTGACATGATTTATAACAAATCTTTCTTAAATTATCCGTTTATAAATTTTTAGATTATAAAGAAACCGTTTTCAACTCCCTCAGGCAAAGTTGACCTTAGATGTATTTGGCTATATTTTATGTCCTTTTTGGTCATCATATAGCTCTTCAACTTTTTCAGCTCTTATACATCCTTGGCTTTCAAACATTCGGTTTTGAGCGTTCCTGATGAAGGTAAATCCAGAAAAATGCTTCAGGCACATGAAATTCACAACGCCAGTGTTGTTTTAATGCATTTGAAGGATTTATAAACTAAGATACTCACGGTTATGTAAATCCTTGTTACATTTTCCCCTTTCATTTGTTTTATCATGCATTTATAATATTTCATGTTTCGTATATGTGTGTATTGTCCTTGTGTTATGTGTAATATATGCATATATAGTTGATTCAAAAGCGTTTCATAGCTTATGTTTGTAAATTATGCACATCGACTTTAAATAAAACTTTTGACTTTGACTTAGATTACTTTTTGGAGTCTCAGACCTAAAAATCAACACTTTAATGTCATTCCATTAAAGAATTGAACTATTTGTTTTTCTTAGTCAAGAAAAAGGACCCTTTTAAAAAGATTTTTACCAATTAGGACGTGCTTGTTTAAATTTTTGTTTATTCTTTTTCGGTATTCAGTCTTTTCTGTAATTCTTATTTCAAGACATCCGATTGGACAACAACAGTTTATTCATCAAATGAAAATGTGTGTCTTAACTTCAGTTTGGCAAAATCTTCAAAATGGCGTCAAAACGAAAAATTATATTCAAGGAAATCAAAAACTAAGAATATTGGAATGTTGCAGCTCTTTTAAATGCATAACTTAGAAGAATGATAGAATACACTTAAAAATGGTAGCACCATGGATATATTTTCTTTCTATATATTCTTCCTTGGAATTTAGTAACAAATTATTTTCCTAATTTTCAGATCAGGCTTATGCTACACGGTCACGAGCACAAATAGTTTAAATCGCTATGTAATTTACACATTCTAAAACCTACCTTCTTTTTAGAATAAACCTACTTATGTTATATAGATGACAATTAATAAGTTGGACACTTTAAGATCAATACGTAAACAGCCTACAGTACACCGGTACAGGTTGGGCACAATGAGCCATTTGGGTTATTATACTTATATATATAGCCCAAATGGGATATAAATTTCCAGTGCCAAAAAATCTCAATTTTAGAATTTAGCAAAAATATTGAGAAGTGCATTTGTTTTAGTCAATAGTAGTAACTTTTGGTTGGAGACTTTTCTAGCTAATGAATAAGTTGCTAGATTCCCTCTTTCAAAAACACCATCTTTCAAGAGGTTGAACTTATTAAGGATCAACTGAACTTGGCAACCATAATACTTGTATACTAGTATTGTCAACAATACTCGTATATAATTAATGTACAAGTATTGTACAAAAAATTTAAAAAATCAATAGGGTTTGTTATTATTCATTGATGTGTTTTATTAACAACTTGTTGGTGTATTTTTGTTCTAATGCATTTAGCCAGATGTAAATATTGAGACTAAATGTATGTTGCTTTATACTTTTATTTATTCATGATAACAAAAACATACTTAAATTAATCTGGGATTATTATATTAACAGTATAATAGACCCAGAATTAATACACAAGAAAATATGTACAAAGAAATCACAATAATAAATCAGAAACGTTCATATGCTGCAGCTGTAAGCAGGGTGATTCTCATCTGGTCAATTGTCTTTGTGTCCATGTCTGTATGCTGACGCATGATGTTGATGAATATAGTCATTTCGTACCCTAAGCATATCGTACCCTGGCAAAAAACATTCGTACCCTGACCATTTTGTTACAAAAAATGAATAAATGTTTCTAATTTTCTATCCTGAAATACTTATTTTTGGCGTCAGATATTTTCTATTATGACGTCAAAATTTTACGGGAACTTTTGTGATGTCCAGTAATGGCGGACAAATAGCGATAAGGTGTATTAGCAATGTTTACCGTAGTTTCATGGAGAAAACGTAATTGACAGAAAGTCGAAAACCATAATCAACTCGTTAAAAACATTGCTCTTATTGTTTTCCGTGAAATAAATAGCAAATTAAGACTTATTTTTCATTGACTGCCTTCATTTTTTATACGAAAATAACAAAATCGGCCGCCATATTGTTGATCGTATTTACATCTTCTACGTACTGTTTATTATCCTCCAAAGAAGGAGCACACCCAAATAAAGAAAGATAACTCAATCTTATTTTTTCCTAGCATTGAGTAACCTACTAAGATATTATAAAATATGTCTTCATACTTCTGGCTTTAGAATTTATATGTTTAGGTGTTTTGAGTTATGGGAAAAGTTGAAGAGGGTCTTAGTAGCAGGGTTGGTAGGGTGCCTTGGTCATCTTTTTCTGTATTTTTTATTTTCAATCCAAATTTTCACTGTTCACTATATCCTAACATTGTGCATTTACAGCTGTTTTGTGCTGCATTGCCATTAAGCACAGAAAAATTAGAAAGGTGAAGCTTGTAAAGTGTGTCAGACCATAGAAACAGAATGAAGCAGGACATTTTTCAAAAAATACTGCATATAAAGCTTAACTGTGCCAAGCAATGATTTAAAACTTGTGTCACAAGCTGCTTGATAAGTTTTCAGCCTAAAAAGTAGAAAGATAGTTTTTCTCTGGGCTAATGATGTTGTTCTTGTATCTTTATAACCAGTGATTCAATGAACAAACAATGTTTGATTATAATCTTTATTAAAACATGCCCTTTTCATATTATCATATCACGCGTTAAATGCCCTTTTTCAGGATTGGTACCCTGCCCTTTTGAAATCCTAGCTGGAACACTGTATTTATATTTTATATAAACAATACTATGACAATACTCGTACACAATACTTATACATTAATTATATACGAGTATTGTTGACAATACTAGTATACAAGTATTGTGGTCGCCAAGTTCAGTTGATCCCTAATTAACAACCAGGTATTCAGAAAAGTTGCTAACCAAAAGATCAGTTGTAGCCTTTTATGTAATTTGCATTTTGTGATATTTTCCCTTCAATAAAAAGTTTTTTACAAAGTAAATTTATATCCCATTTGGCGTATTATTTCTCAAAAGGATACAATTTATAACCCATTTGGGTGATTGTCCCCAACCTATTAAAGTTCTAATATTTTAAAATCTAAAAAGATTATTCATGTATTTCACTGTTTATTGTTCCTTGTCAGCACTATTTTAGGGTGAAGGTACATTAGATCTGACACACCATTATCTGTTTCTGTGACTTTTTGGAGTACTGGATAAGTCATCCTAAAACAAACTCGGACTATCACACTCGAATTATAACAAACTCGGCCTGGCATTATTTATATAAAGAAATAAAGGGAACAAACTCATTAATAACTGAAATTCTGCGGGGATAGGGTTGCACTTCCTATATACAAGGTGATAGGACGTGCCGCTAGAATAGGTCACATCTTCCAGCTTGGAAATGTAAATAGGTGTGGAAAACTATCATCTTTCTTGGTGTTCCTTGGTGTGTTTTTATCTACAAATTTTCCATCCTTTTTAACAAAAAATAAATTTTTTGCACAGTTTTCAAATTGAATTCTTGGGGTTCTTTGATATGCTGATTCCAACCATATATTTAGAATTTGGATATGGGACCATAATTGGTCATGTTGGTAAATGTCCAATTTTAAATATTTAAGTACTTGGACCACATTCATTCTGTGTCAGAAACTATGCTATATCAAATATTTAATCAAAATCTAAATTTAGAGATGCATTGCACAATTAATGGAAATTTTAAGTTGAGTCATATTTAAAAATAGATACAGCATGAAGGTAAATCCAGAAGAGCACTTCGGATGCATGAAATTAATAACGTGTTTCCATTTATTTTATATCCTGGGTAGATACTTCTGCTGGTAGACTATCAGTCCCCGAGGGTATCATCAGCTCAGTAGTCAGTACTTCGGTACTGACATGATTTATAACAAACCTTTCTAAGATTGTCTGTTTATAAATTTTGAAATTATAAAGAAACTGAGGTTTCAACTCCCTCAGGAAAAGTTGACTTTAAAAGGATTTGGCTATAGATTTAATACGCCCGTTTACGGGACGTATTATGGTATACCGTTGACCATCTGTCTGTCTGTCCGTCCGTCGTCAACATGTCGGACATTAACTCAAAAAATCTTTAACCAATATGCATGAAACTTTATTGAATTGTTTATATCTATTGACGTGAGCTCCCTTTCTTTTTTTATAAATTTCAGATTTACCATTTCCGAGTGTTGGGGTTTTATTCATTAAAAAAGGGGGGATTTTCCAGTTTTCCGACAATAACTCAAGAATGCTTTCACCAACTTGCAAGAAATTTTGGTGAATTGTTTATATCTATTGACATGAGCTCCCTTTTGGATTTTTATAAATTTTAGATTGAACGTTTCCGAGTTACAGGGTTTTATTCATAAAAAAAGGGGGATTTTCCAGTTTTCGGACAATAACTTAAAAATGCTTTCAGCAGTTCTTATGAAACTTTGGTGAATTGTTTATATCTGTTGATGTAAGCTCCCTTTAGAATTTTATAAATTTTAGATTTTACATTTCTGAGTTACGGAGTTTTATTCATTAAAAAAGGGGGGATTTTCCAGTTTTTGGACAATAACTCAAATACTTTCAGCAGTTCTCATGAAACTTTGGTGAATTATTTATAGCTATTGATGTTATCTCCCTATTGATTTTCATAAATTTCAAATATGACATTGAAAAGAAATTGAACTTTATTTGTTTATAGTCTGACAACAGATTTACTAAGTATTGCACAACAGCACAGTGTATTGCACAACAGCAAGAAACCTTTAATTGAATATAAATTCAATTCATAAAACCAATTTCAATTTCTTTGACTACATTTATTCACAAACCTATTTTATGTCAAATATTTAATTACAGTCCAAATTCAGAGCTGTATCAAGCTTGAATATTGTGTCCATCTTTGCCCCAACTGTTCAGGGTTGGACTTCTGCAGGCGTATCCAGCTGCGCTCAGCGAAGCAGTTTATTAGGTATTTTTTGGTTATATAGCTCTTCAACTGTTTCGGTCCTTACACATCCTCGGTCTTTCAAATATTTGGCTTTGAGCGTTCCTGATGAAGGTAAATCCAGAAAAGCACTTTGGACGCATGAAATTGATAACGTATTGTTTCCATTTATTATAATGAAATTCCCTTACTCATAACAAAAAGAAATTGAAAATTTAATTTTTCTTCCTATAAAACTACACACAATTTGTATAATAGATTAGTACAATGTATTTACTATTAATTTATTCATGCAATAATTTTCACCTGTTATCAAGATAACAAAACATGTAGTAATTATCAATAACACAATTATAATTGGAGTGACAGATTTATTTGAAAATTTTGTGTTTCCTAAGTGTTGTTGATGATAAGCTCTGTAGGACGGTATAAATATAGTTTGAAATTTACTGTTCATTATTAGATATTTTGAAGATAAACTACAGATAAGTTTAACAGATTTTTTAAAGACATTGTATTAATGATAAATGATATTTTGGAAATTATTTTTATCTTTTTTTTTGGTAAATTGTTTGAAGAATTTTGTGGTAGGTTTGTTTGTTATTCTGTATAAACAAATTTTCTGAATGCTATATATATTTGTTTTTTTTTGAATGAAGCGAACTCCTTTAAAAACTAAGCTTATATTGTATATTAATAAACAAGTATTTAGATTTTTGATTTGGGCCCAGTTTTCAAGTTGGTCCAAATCGGGGTCCAAAAAAACTGTGTTTGATTTCAACATAAATTGAATATATATGGGGTTCTTTGAAATGCTGAATCTAAATCTGTATTTAAATTTTGGATTTTTGGGCCCAGTTTTCAACTTGGTTCAAATCAGGGTCCAAAATTAAACTTTTTTGTTTGATTTCAACAAAAATTTAATTTATGGGGTTTTTTGAAATGCTGAATCTGACCATGCATTTAGATTTAGGATTTTGGGCTCCGTTATAAAATTGGTCTACCTTGAGGTCCAAAGGGTCTTAAATTAAACTTTTGTTTGATTTCATCAGAAATTGAATTTTTGTGGTTCTTTGATATGCTGATTCTAACCATTTACTTAGATTTTGGATATTGAACCATAATAGGTAAATGTCTAATTTCAAATTTTTCAGTTCTTTGACCACATTCATTTTATGTCACAAACATATGCTGTGTCAAATATTCAATCACAATCCATATTCAGAGCTGTTTTAAGCTTAAATGTTGTGTCAAGATTGAATCAAGTCAGAGGTAAACTAAAAAATGTTTGTGTTTGGGGTTCCTCTTTAAAAGACATCCAGCAATAGGGTAGGTACATGTAGGAATGATTTTTGAACATTTTTTAACTTTTAGGGGACATTTGCAATTTTGTCATGATACACTACCCAAAGTAGCAATAAAAGTTTGAAAGTAGGCATTTTAAAGCATACACAAATATGGAAGGTACTTAACAAAAGTTTTTTTTTTTATTTTGGCCTCAGATAGGCTGCCTCAACACACATCATGCACATGTACAATGTTTTAATTATCATAAGACTTTTACATAATATGCATAAAGACTTGATAACTTTTCCCTTTATTTTAGACAGAGATTGATGATGGTCTCTGTACAGCTGATGCTTTATCTACCTTACATGATGAATTAGAAAATGAAATCATTCAATATGAAGAAAAGGTTGCTGCTTCAAAAACAAGACAGTTACTAAGATGTTTGAATCCTTATGAGGTGAAATCAGCTTTTCACTGTACAAGTGTTATAATTCTGAGTTTGTTGTCAGTTGCATTGGTTGTGGCTTTTGGTGCATTTTTAAGTAGGTATGTATGAGACAGGTAAATAGTAATAACAATTGTAATGATCTTTTTTCTTCTTCAAAATACTGATGTTCATTACACACTCTATTCTAGTTTAGAGTATCAGCCAGTAGATTCCACACAAAGGTAGCGACATTACAATGATACAATTTCACAAAGTTGTAAAATGTGATGGTCACTCACAAGAATCATTTTTCATGTTGATATACAACATTTCCTTTTATTAATATTAGAGAATTAATCATGTGTAAACAATTCTGTATCTTTTATGAAAAATTTAGATGAGAGGAGGTTTAGGGTAAACATCAATTGGTGAGCTCCCAACATCACAAACAACATGAACAAAATAAAATTTTCTTAGAGATCAACATCTGGTCAACCCAATCATTAAATCAATAATCCTCAATCATCTTTTAAAAAACTTCAGATCCCCACCCTTAACCATATAATTGATTAATTTCTGATTCCTAATGACAAGATGCAATGACTAGGGGTTAATCCCAACCCCCTTAAATCAGTTCTCTGCAACATACAGTCTTGCTCATGGATATCATCCCCATCCCCACAAATCAATACTTTTGATTCTGTTGAAAGTTTTGACTTGTCAACTCTATTCACTACACTTCCACACAATCTTATCAAACAAAAGTTTTCCTTTTTAATTAAATGGTGGTTTGGTAAATCTGATTGCAAACATATTTCCTGCAACTCATTTAAAGCCTTCTATAATGAGAAAGGTAAATTTGCTAGACATACTTACTGGAAGTGTGATGAGATGATTGAAGCTGTTTATTTTCTCCTTGATAATATTTATGTACGTTTTGGCAATAAAGTTTATCTTTAGGTTGTAGGTATTCCTATGGGCACCAATTGTGCCCCTTTAAAAGCAGACTTGTTCTTGTACTGTTATGAATCACAGTTTATGACCAAACTTAGTAAAGACCTATCTATTTAAAATTGCATTTGAATGATAAATTCAACAACATTTACCGTTATCTTGATGATATTTTTTCTTTTAAATAATCAAGAATTTTCAAAATTACTGCCGAAATTTATGCGAAAGAACTTACTTTAAATAAATCAAATATAAAAGGTAATAACTGTCCTTTCCTAGATTTAGATATTTCAGTTTTACATGGGAAACTCTTCACAAAAATTTATGACAAAAGGGATGATTTTGTTCTCTACTGTTAATTTTTCTTTTTTGGAAGGTGATGTTCCTTTGGTACCATCTTACGGTGTTTATATATCACAACTCGTTTGTTATTCCTGTGTCTGTTGTAAAGTTTTGGATTTCATTGAACGTAATCTATGTATTTCGGGTAAATTGTTAAGTCAGAGATTTCATTTACACAAATTACTTAAAACCTTTATTAAATTCTTCCATAGATACAAAGATTTGATTTCGAAGTTTGGCTATACCTGTAGAAAAATTATTTCAAACGGGATAGCACATCCTAATTTTTACGGAGATGTTATTTCCAAGCCTTGAAACTTAGATACCATCCCGGTTAACTTAACGATCCATTAAATAAACTTATTCTCAAAGGTTACCAATTCAACACTGTAATTAGATCTTTGAATATTGTTTTTATTATTATTAATATTGATTTTGTTATCAGTAAATTAAAATCTAACTAATTATTATTTTCATATACATATGCACATTCATAGCTCTACAATCTGTTGAAACCTGTATCTTGATATTGCTTTTTCTCTGAATGTTAATGATGTCTTTACACTAAATCCATTGGATGTTGGATATATATTGATTGATATTTTAGTCTTAGATGCATGATTTTTGTTGTTGTTTAGCTTTGAACTAGCTGTCAGTAACTGTGAGTATTCTCAGATCTGTACTTAGTGTATTTATTGTTGTGGTGATGTATAAATACCCTGCCACGTCCGGTCTGTTCTTTTGTTAGATGTCTTTCTGCTTTGTATCGATCTGATGAGCCCTTTTCAACTGATTGTTACAGTTTGTTCTTATGTTGAACTGTTACACCACTATCCCAGGTTAGGTTGGCGCCAACAAACATGTTTACCCCCCCCCCCCCCCCCCCCCCCCACATTCTGTGTGTGCCTGTCCCAAGTCAGGAGCTTGTAATTCAGTGGTGGTCGTTTGTTGCTATATAACAGATTTGTTTTTCATTCATTGTCTTGTACATAAATCAGGCCTTTAGTTTTCTCGTTTGAATTGTTTTACGTTTGTCATTTCGAGACCTTTTATAGCTGACTATGCGTAATGGGTTTTGCTCATTGTTGAAGGCCATACAGTGACCAATAGTTGTTAACTTCTATGTCATTTGGTCTCTGGTGGAGAGTTGTCTCATTGGCAACCATACCACATCTTCTAAGTTTCATATTGTAGCTTTGAATTATCTTAAAAACTGTTTAGATCCCTAATTCTAAATCATATTTATTGATTCCTCATGACAAGATGTACCGTCTACAACATAGAGATAATCCCCGTCCTTGGGGTAATCTTGGCCCCTCAAATCAATGATTTCTTTATTATAATGCATTTAGATCCCTATGCTGAACTAAACCACATTTGTTATTCCTGATAACAATTTGCTCTGACAGCAATGTACCCACTTCCTTGCAGTGAATAATTCTTATTATCACATTCATTTATTACAATGAACTGCAGTCTCTTGTAAACAAGCTTCATTCATTTTGTAGACTTTATTACCGGGTAATGCAAGATTATAATCATATCTTGTCTATTGATTAATATAATTGGTCTCTGCTTCAAGAATTATAATTAGAAATTAGAGAATTTAAAGGTTTTTTTTCAGTGAAATGGATGTATACCCTTAAAATATAACTACTATTTTAAGGTTCCTTAAAATATAACTACTATTTTAAGGTCCTAAGAAACATAAAACTCAAAAAGGAAATGAAAATCTTAACAATGGTGATGTGAAATTTCTGTGAATGTGGTTTAAGAATTTGTAACAAAGATACAAATTTAACTACAAGTTTTGGTTGGAACATGCATGTTATTTATTTTTTACATGATGAATTTTCCCTTACAGTTCTACAGAGAGTAATCCAGTATGGTGGATAATAGAAGTAGTTGTATGGTTAATAGTACTTGCATTGAATATTATAAGCAGCATATGGAACTGTCATATAGAATTAAAGGAAATTATCAATATTGCCAGGCTTACTTTAAAAAAGATCAAAGGTAAATGTGGTGGAATTAGATGGGATGAATGACACTTAATCCTTACATGTACTGGACAAAAACTAAAAACACATCAGCAGCACTTTTAGCATTGTTCTGCGACTTAAAGTGACATGTACTTTATTATTTAAAGGACAAATGAAAATTAAAGTTTTCCAGTTTATTGGGAATTTTATTAGACACAAATGCATTGATTACACATAATTTATTGAAATATCAAAAGCAGTGAATATATTGCTGAACCTTGTTGTGACCAAATCTTGGATATGTCAAGGTATTTTGTCAGTGTGGGGTTTGGTGAATGTAGGCTCACTTTCAATTTTGAAAATTTTCTTGTTTGTTCTAAAGTTATGGGACTTCACATCTAAGGCAATATCTAGATCTATACCTGCTAGTTTTTCTATAAAGCCATGTTAAAGCTGATTTTTGATAGATGTCTTCAATATTCCATTTCATTCTCACAACAATTTCAATGTGTACAAGACTGGAGTATCTTGGCATTGATGCTTGTTATAACATGAAATTATTTCTAAAATGTTTTCACAAAGATGGATTGAAATATGAATTACAATTTCAACATTAACATACCAGATTTATTATACAAGTTTTTTTTTTTACCATTTTAAAACAGAGAAAACATGATGTGATTCACAACCTTGGATGACTGTAGCATCTGATAAGATGAATACTGTGGATTCATTTATTTTCGTGGGTACCAATTTTTGTGGATTGAGGAAATCTTGCATCTTCTTGGATATTTGATTTTGTGGTTTTGTCAAATTCTACATACAACCCAATAGGAAATTTGTACTACATTGAACATTTAAATTCGTGGTTCACATGTACCAACAAAATCCACGAAAATTGGTAATAATGAATCCACAGTAGTAATGTTTGATAACTGTACCTTCAACTTTGACTTATCGAGGTTCAGCTGAGTATATTTTCTTCAGATTAAACATTAAACAAAGAGTGTGACTCATTTTTGCCATGTAGAAGTGACTCATTTTTACCTTTAAAATTCTTGATATTTTTATGCAATGACTTATGATTTACTCAACCTTCACTAACATGACTAATATGAAAAGAAAATACTTGTTGAATGATAGTTGTATACTTCTTGTGTATTTCAGATTGTTTGAGAGCTCCCTCATGGACTATTGATGAATATGTTAACATTCATACTCCTTTATCACCATGTGTTTCACTACAGTGGACACTCAGAGATAATCAGGTGGTTAATTTACCAGTCCCATTACTGGTAGCTGGTGATGTAATACTATTAAGGCCTGGACATATTGTTCCTGGTAGCTGCAGACAATTAGAGGTAAAATATTCATGCATTGCTGTCATCCTTTTAGTCCCTTATCTCAATTGTCATGTGTATTTAAGAATATAACTGTTTAAACCTGTGTCGAACTTGTATTAAGGTTTATACTATATAAAATCTGTTGATTCTTTTTCAAGGGGCTGGTCATGTACATGATGTACCATTAGATGAAGATTACATGTTTCATATTTCATGGATTTAAAATTTTATTCAGTATCAGTATTATAAAGTATTATTCTATATCTCAGATGCTTAATGGCCTCCAATCATATGACTTGGTGAAGAGGGTATCTAGGGGAGTATAGCCGCATCCCAAAAATAAGCTCATTCTGACCTGTATTTATTTAATGCTTTACTGATTTGTGTTTATGCTTTTGCACTTCATACAAAATGTGCTTCGGTCAACACTTTTACACCTCAATAAATTAAAAAGAAAGCATTCAATTCTTTAGTAATTTTAAAACATCTGAGATACTATGTGATCTACATTTAGGTTCTTTTCTCCCTTAATTTAGATTTCACTGTAATAGCTGTTTAATTTATCATACAATGTTTATTTAATCAATTTAGGGAAAAGGCAAACTATAGTAGTAGATTACAAATGCTTTTATTTTTCAATTTCAGTTTTTGACAGAACAGTTTTCAATATTAAAATAAATGTAGTAGCTATATTTATAAGAGAAGTAATAATATAAATATTTATTAAGTTAAAAAAAGGCTTTTTTTGTTCTTCATTTTCTGTTTATGAGAATTATATTCTACCATGATTAAGCAAAAAAGCAAAAATCATCTAAAAGGAAATGAAGTGTGTATATTATATATTTGTATTACTTATATTGTGAACTATAAACTGGAAAGAAGTCTCTATTTATAGGTAGATGGAAAAGAGGTATTATTGAGTCAGGGAGACATGTATTGTTCTACCTCTCAAGAAGACTCTGACTACAAAGGAACACCACACAACTGTAAACCTGTAACTGCTCAAAAATTTGTCATGCTAGAAACAGTATTTCTACAGAATTTGAGGTAATAATGACATAGTAAAAAGAGAAAAAAATCCATGCCAATTAATAGTGAAACATTAAAATTTAAATGTAAGCATAAGTTTTTAAGAACCTCTTTCAATTAATTCGATTCAATCACTGTCACATAAAGGGAAAACAACTATGAAAATTATTGAAATGTAACATGTTAAACTACATAATAATACATTAAGGATTAAGGTTTTATATTTGAGTTTGATGTAAAGATATGACATTCAAAAATGATACTGTATAGAAAAAAATTTTTACAACATAAATAAGAGTTACAAAACAAAGTATATTTTTCAAATGAACAAAGAGAAGATTTATTGATTTGATTTATACACAAGAATCAACCACCAATATTTATACATGTATCTGGCCTTTGTTAGTCTTGTATCATTTTTAATTTTAGTTTCTTGTGTATAATTTGGAGTTTAGTATGACGTCCATTATCACTGAACTAGTATACATATTTGTTTAGGGGCCAGCTGAAAGACGCCTCCAGGTGCGGGAGTTTCTCGCTGCATTGAAGACCCATTGGTGGCCTTCGGCTGTTGTCTGCTCTATGGTCGGGTTGTTGTCTCTTTGACACATTCCCCATTTCCATTCTCAATTTTATTGATAATAAAATTTGTACATTTATCTGTTACATTGAATTTAATATTCTAAATGTATGCAATAAAGCACATCTTTAACAGACTGCTAGTCCTTGTATTTATGAAGTTATGAACTGAAATTAACATTTTTTCTTCATTTTAGAACAATGCTTGAAGATGAGTTTCCAAGGCCTGTTACAGTAATAGAAAATGAAAGATATATGATAGCAAGTTATTTGGTTGAGAGGAGATTATTACCTTTAGTATTTGTAAGATTTTATTATTATCTGTAGTATTTGTAAGATTTTTATTATTACCTGTAGTATTTGTAAGATTTTATTATTACCTGTAGTATTTGTAAGATTTTATTATTACCTGTAGTATTTGTAAGATTTTATGGCTATAATTATTTAGTTTTGTTGCAAGAGACAGATCTCAGAAAAAGAAGGAAAACCTATATAGGGTGAATTTCACAAGTATATTCAACTCTCTTTTTATTTTAATCAAACAATTTTCAGATAGTTCATAATTGTGTACTTCAATTTTTGTTTTTATTATTTCTCTTATTATTTGACTCTGAATTAAGAATTAACGTATTCGCAGCGGTAGTCTGTAGTGTTTCAAATGTATTCAGTTTGCAATTATTTTATTAACAAAAATGACAGCAAGAAAAAAGCTAATACCTATATTGATGTGGATTTTCTGTATATATGAATACTGGTAATAACTTGTGTATGAACATGCTAAAACTTTGTTTTAGATAAATGTGTGAACATAAGGCCATGTAAAATAAATTTTCTGGTTACCAGATCCTGTCTTCTAAATTAACATTAAGAAAGTTCAATTTAAATGTATTCAGTTGCTGTCTCACTCTTCATCTCCTTTTATTTATAAACACAAGTATGTACTTTATTATACCCCACACAACAACGTTGCATAGGGTATAATGTTTTTGACCCATCTGTCCATCCGTCTGTCTGTCAGTCCGTCTGTCAGTCCTGTTCTTGTCATGCAACTCCTCTAAAACCACACAATAGAATTTCATGAAACTTTGTAGGAAATTATGATTCAATTTTTTGTTTATGCCTCCACCATAGCGGAGGGGGCATTAAGTTTGACCCTTGTCCCTCCGTATGTCCATTTGTCCGTCGGTCTGTCCATCTGTACGCCCCAAAATTGGTTTCCGTTCTCTAACTTAAGTTTGCCTCAACTAAATGTTATGAAACTTATACACAATGCGTATTACCAGAAGTTTGTATTTTAGAGTAAGATGCATATGTCTTCTTTGTTTCACTATTTCCATTATTATAAAAACAAACCAAAGTTAAGTAACTCATTACAGACTAAATACTTATGTTGTTTATGTATAATTTTTTTCAGGCATTAATGTTATTGATAAACATTCTAAGATACATGTATATGCCTGATCACAGTGGACATTGGACAGAAATGTTTCTTGTTTTACAGGTAGTATTTATAGCATTTTTAAATACTGTGGATTCATTTATTTTCTTGGGTATCAATTTTCTTGGATAAAGAAAAAAGACAATTCTTGGGATACGTAAATTCATTGATCTCTGTTTGAAAAATAAAAAAATGTTTCAGATATGTTTATTCGTAGGTCTCTGTTTAAATAATAATCAAACAAAAGATAGAAAGTAACTGAAAATGTTTTAAATTGTCAAAATCCTCGCTTGGTCATTAGAGGTTAAAGTGTTCATTAAAATCGTTGATTACAAGGGTGGACAAAGGCAACTATTATTTGTTTGTTTTACCATTTATAATTCTTGGCGGAATTTCATAAGGTATTCAAAGCCTTTTGATGTAAAACTGATTGAATAAAGGAAACAACAGAAAGTTATTTTCCCTAATCACAACTTAATAAGCAGTCACTAGAAAATGATCAAAAGTAAGAAACATGCTTACAATGTTTGCAGGCCAAGCTAGAACCTAAGCCATAAAAAATGATACAATTTACTCATCTCATGGTTTTATTATATATACTCTGTGGAACATGTACAAGGCTATTCTAAGTTTTAAGTTTCATGATGGAAATAATTATTTCACATGTAATTTTGATAAAAGATGTTGCAATTAAAATTGTCTTGTATAATGTATGATATGGACCGATAAATTCATAAAGGATTATACCTATGCTATCATATTAAAAGTTTGTCAATCATTTTTTAAAGTCAAAGGTGTGAAATTTAATATTCCTCAATACACATTTCTCAATATTATTCTTCGTTGAATTCTTGAATTTGTGCTTTGCTGTGACAAATGAAACCCAGGAAAATTGGTATACCAAATGAATAAAAATGAATCAGCAGAATTGTAAATTCAGAGATTAATGACATGATTTTTATTAAATGCCAAAAATGGTTGATGAACATTACAATAGTTCATGTTGCTATTCATATGCTAATGTTGTCATTAATTAGTGTTATTATACCCCCACAAATAGAGTAATGGGATACAGCAATCACCTTATCTATTCATCCATTGGTAAAATCAAAAGCAACATATTACTCAAATTCTGTATAAAGGAATACTTTGATTTCTGGATCTTAATAATGTTGAGTTCTACTTATTAAAATGAATTTAGATCTGTTTGGTAGTCACTTCTTGTTTGACAATACTTATCTTAACAATACCCTCTTTGACAATACATATCTTAACTATACCCTCTTTGACAATACATATCTTAACTATACCCTCTTTGCCAATACATATCTTAACTATACCCTCTTTGCCCGTCTTTGGTATGAAGCAAGTGAGGGTATTCTTTGCATTACATAGCATGCCATTTCTTGTTAATCTCACATTATTTTATTTGCAGAAGATTTTCATTAATGAATGCACAATTAAGATTGCAAATTTACATGAAATCCTTAAAACTATTTTGAAATTTAAATATATATTTGAATGGATAGAACAGACTTTTTTGTCCACCTTTTACTATTTTTAGTCCCCTACCGACTTTAGGTTTGCACTTTGTCCGTCTGTCCGTCCGTCCGTCTGTCCATCCGTCAGTCCGGCAACTCAGCTTTCCACACTTTTTTTCTTCGTTCTTGAAGATATTGATTTGATATTTGGTGTATAGTTTTATCATGACAAGTTATAGATCAAGTTCGAATTTTGTTCCGGTCTGATGATTAAGTCCAGAGTTATGGTCCATAAAAAAACTCCATAACTAATGTTAGAGTACTATGTTAAACCATATAATCTGTACAAAGGGAGATAACTCATTTTTCTAAAGACATTCTTTGGTAAATTGTTTGAGGAATTTTGTGGCAGGTTTATATGTTATTTTGTATAAACTAATTTTCTGAATGCTACATATATATATATTTTTTTTTATTAAGTGAAATCCTTTAATTAGATAATAATCTATTTTTATTAAGGTATATATTTCATTACGTTACATTGTGTAGATAAAAGTTGTTGACATTTTATAGATAAGTTACAAATCTATATTAGTTTGTGACAAATGAAAGAAAAAATATTTGGAACTATTAATTATATTTGATTGTAATTTGAAAATAGATATACATTGTATTACATCATATCAAATGTTAGAGAACTATTAATCATATCTAATGTTAGAGTGTTGTAGGTTTTCCACACTTTTAGAGAACCACTGAATGAAATGAAACCAAACATGGCATGAATGTTCCTTATGAGGTGCTGACCAAGTATTGTTACTTTGAAGCCGATCAATAATCCAAGATGGCCGCCTGCAGGGGACTTAGTTTAACATAGGACCCTATGGGAAATATTTACAAATGTCTTCTTTTAGAGAACCACTGAATGGAATGAAACCAAACATGGCATGAATGTTCCTTATGAGGTGCTGACCAAGTGTTGTTACTTTGAAGCCGATCCATCATCCAAGATGGCCGCCAGCAGGGGACTTAGTTTAACATAGGACCCTATGGGAAATACATACAAATGTCTTCTTTAAAAGAACCACTGAATGGATTGAAACCAAACATGGCATGAATGTTCCTTATGAGGTGCTGACCAAGTGTTGTTACTTTGAAGCCGATTCATCATCCAAGATGGCCGCCAGCAGGGGACTTAGTTTAACATAGGACCCTATGGGAAATACATACAAATGTCTTCTTTAAAAGAACCACTGAATGGAATGAAACCAAACATGGCATGAATGTTCCTTTTGAGGTGTTGACCAAGTGTTGTTACTTTGAAGCCAATCCATCATCCAAGATGGCTGCCAGCTGGGGACTTAGTTTAACATAGGACCCTAAGGGAAATACATACGAATGTCTTCTTTTAGAGAACCACTGAATGGAATGAAATCAAACATGGCATGAATGTTCCTTTTGAGGTGCTGACCAAGTGTTGTTACTTTGAAGCTGATCCTTCACCCACGATGGCAGCCAGCGGGGAGACTTCCTTTAACATAAGACCCTATTGGAAATATAATACAAATGTTTCTTCTAGAGATGCACTGAATGGATAGAAACCAAACATGGCATAAAAGTTTCTTATGAGGTGCTGATGAAGTGTTGCTACTTTGTTGCTGATTTACTGTTCAAGATGGCTACCAGGATTTTTTATTAAATTACAGGGCCAATATTAAACCAAATTTGGCCTCACTCATTATTAGGGTATCTGTTATGATTTTAATCTATTTTAACATGATTTCCAAAACCAAAGTAGAATCAGGTGAGCGACACAGGCTCTTTAGAGCCTCTAGTTTTCATCATGCTTGAAGATATTGATTGACAATTGGTATATAGTTTTATCATGACAAGTTACAGATCAAGTTCAAATTTTTGTTTAGTCTGATAATTTTGTGCAGAGTTATGGTCCTTGGACTTGAAAAAATTCACTCATATATTCAGTTTTCCACACTGTTTTTAGTCATGCTTGAAGATATTGACTTGATATTTTCTTTTTGTTTACACCATGACAAGTTATAGAACAAGTTAGCATTTTGTTCCAGTATTGAATTTTTACCCGGTAGGGGACTATGTATTGCCATGCAATACTCTCAGAATGCTTGTTCTAATTGGATATCACATATTACTTCAGCTTAGTTAAAAGTTTGAATCTATGGAGAAGTTTGTTGAAAGAAATTAAATATTAAAAGGAAGTCCAATGTCAAATGGTTAGATAGGTTCATTGGCTTTAACAAGAAACTTAATTTTACATAAGAGCCAATAGGAAATACATATATTCCTAGTAGGATCAAGTGTAAAGTCAACTGCTAGTTACCACCCAAATTGCTGTAATTTTGATGACCAATATGGCTGCATATCATTTAAAAAAAACCACAATGTTTGACAAGCTTAACACAAGCTACCTTTTGATTTTACCAGAGTAAACTTAATTGATCAAAATACAAGCAGTTTATGGTGTGCATTAATGATTATGTAAAGTACATTTTATCTATCAATACCCCATGACATAAGACAGTCTAATTACAATTTAAGGCTACCTTCCATTCAATATGCACTGAAACAGTTTAATTTTTTCAGGAGTAATGGGAACATAATGGTGCATAAAGGGGAGTTTATGTTATACAATTATGGTGTAGCTGCTTATTTTGGAACTGTAAATAATGAATATGTATTTAATTGATATCAATTGTATGTTGTCTGAATTTGATTGATATTAATGGTATATTGTTCTAGGTCCATGTTATTCTTCCTATGGTACCAGCATTATATCCATTGTTATGGAGGATTCTTGACATTTATGGTCAAGCCAGAGTATTTTCAGCATCCCATACAGCAAAATATACCAAGGTGTGTATTGAGTATGTAAAACCAATTTACTCTTTTCAAACCATTAAGTATAGTGTCATAATCAAGAGTACTTCATAGGCTTCATTTAAGGTTTGTAGAGCAAATTTTTACACATTACATATACTGGGTATATATTAACATGATATGCACAAACATTTATACCTAAAGAACATCTATTGCTTTGTTCACCTTAATATTAGTTATTTGTTTCAGCTCTTCATACATAAACATGGAAGCAGGGCCCTTGATAACACGTCAGTTTCTTGTTGTGAGTTCTGCCCCTTGGAAATATTATTTTTTTTGAAAATTGCATTATGAAAAGTGCTCTAACATGTACAATTCTTGCCAGATTTTTATAAAATATATATATCAAGGTTTATATCAGCAATGTCTCGGAAAAGTTTGAAAATCAGTCTGATCAACTATTTTAAAAAGAGTAATGCCCGTTTGAAATATTAATGATATGGAAAATTGCATTGTAAGTGCTTTCAGGCCTATATTTTTTCAAGGATTGATATGAAATTTAAAGGTTTATATCAGCAATGTGTTGGAATTGTTTGAAAACCAGCACTCAGTTATTTTTTTTACAGGAGTTATGTCCCTTAGAAATGTAATTCAATAGAATATTATATTGTTATCACTCTCACTTGTACAATTCTTACCAGATATTTTTGAAATTTATATCAAAGGCTAATATCAGCATTGTCTAGGACATGTTTGGAAATCAGTGCAGGTCAACTATTTTTCAATTTATAAAAAGTTTCAGATAAGGGTGAAGGTTGGTACCTATTAAAACGTTTAAACCCGCTGCATTTGTTTGCACCTGTCCTAAGTCAGGAATCTGATGTTCAGTAGTTGTCGTTTGTTGATGTGGTTCAAAAGTTTTTCTCTTTTTTTTTATATAGATTAGACCGTTGGTTTTCCCATTTGAATGGTTTTACACTAGTAATTTTTGGGGCCCTTTATAGCTTGCTATAAGGCTCCGTGTTGAAGACCGTACTTTGACCTATAATGGTTTACTTTTACAAATTGTGACTTGGATGGAGAGTTGTCTCATTGGCACTCATACCACATCTTCTTATATCTAATTAAAGATAAAAAAAATCAATTTGAGTTATTGCCCTTGGACAGGTTAGAATTTGTGCAAAGCAGGAGCGCATTGGAACTCTGTTCTTTTATTATATAAGACATGTTAATTTTTTATTTTATATTTTTTAACATTTTTTTTTTGAAAGGTTGATCCAGAGAGCAGTTTTAGTAGTGACAGTACTATATCAGAAGACGACACTAAACTGGATGTAAACTACAATAAAATCCTAAGCTGGTTTTGGTCAATATTACAAGGAGATTGTTCTGTAGTTACCAGGAGAGTTAATATAACACAAGTTCTTGGTTCTATAACAGTAAGTATAAATTTTATACTTTTTAATATCCTTTTGGAATAACTAGTCTTATCTTGTACTCTTTATTTAGATGCCATATTGTGTAATTTTAATTATATTAATGAGGAAAAGGATCTTGTACATCTTTGATTGTAAAATAGCAGAAAAAAAATCCTTCTAGATCTTTAATGAAAATCTGATACTTTGTTCTGAAGCAAGAAAAAGAGTACAGTGAGCTGAATTTTTGTCGAGGCTGCAACATTTATGTCGCAAAAGCGAGACATAGTGATCCTAGAATCCGTCATCGGCGTTGGCCTCGTCAACATTTAGATTCAGTCTGTGGTTAAAGTTTTTTGAACATCAATAACTTTGTCAAACCTTAATGGAATATTATTAGATTTGGATAGAAGCTTGTTTATGACCAAAATATAGTATCCAGAGCAAAACTTTAAAAATATTTATTTTCATTTTTCCATATTTTACTAATAAATGGACTTAGTTTTTTTACAGTTAACTTTCAGATTTAGTCTAGATCTGAGGTTAAAGTTTTTCAGTCATTGATAACTTTGTCAAACCTTCATGGAATTTTATGAAATTTGGACAGAAGTTTGTTTATGATCAAAATATAGTATCCAGAGCAAAATTTTGAAATTATTTGGTTTCATTTTCCTATATTTTACTAATAAATGGACTTAGTTTTTATTACAGTTAACAGTTAACAGTCTGGTGTTAAAGTTTGTTATACATCAATTACTTTGTCAAACCTTCATACAAGCAAACTTTTGAAAACATTTTTTTTGTTTTCATTTTCAGTATTTGTTTGATAGATGGACTTTCACAGTTTTAACATTTACAGACAGTCTGGGATTAAATTTTTTTGACATGATAAATTTGTTAACCATCTTGGATTTTCATGAAACTTAGACAGAAGCTAAATCTTTAAGACAAAGAAATAGCATCTAAAGAAAATTAATTTTTTTAATTCTGTATTTTTGTCGAGCCTGCGACTTTTGTCGCATAAAGCTCGAATAGGGATAGTGATCCGGCGGCGGCGGTGTTAACTAACTTCTTTAAAGCTTAATATTTCAGAAGGTAGAAGACCTGGGTGCTTCATACTTTGTATATAGATGCCTTAAGATATGAAGTTTCGATCTGTCATATGTCCATTGTCCTTGACATCATTTTGATGGTTCAGTAATACTTGAAAAAAAAGTTGAGATTTTTATTATGAGTAATAGGATAACTATATTTGGTATGTGCGTACCTTTCAAGGTCCTCATGCCTGTCAGACAGTTTTCACTTGACCTTGACCTCATTTCATGGGTCAGTGAACAAGGTTAAGTTTTTGTGGTTAAGTCCATATCTCAGATACTATAAGTAATAGGTCTACTATATTTGATGTATGTAATGATTGTAAGGTGTGCATGTCCAACTGGCAGTTTTCATCTGACCTTGACCTCATTTTCATGGTTCAGTGGTCATAGTTTAGTTTTTGTGTTTTTGGTCTGTTTTTCTAATACTGTATGCAGTAGGTCAACTATATTTGGTGTATGGAAATATTTTATGATGTACATGTCAGTCTGGCAGGTTTAATTTGACCTTTACCTCATTTTCACCGTTCATTTCTCAATGTTAAGTTTTTTGTGTTTTGGTCTGTTTTTCTAAAACTGTATGCAGTAGGTCAACTATATTTGGTGTATGAAAATATTTTACGATGTACAGGTCAGTCTGGCAGGTTTTATTTGACCTTGACCGTATTTTCACGGTTCATTGCTCAATGTTAAGTTTTTTATGTTTTGGTCTGTTTTTCTAAAACTGTATGCAGTAGGTCAACTATATTTGGTGTATGGAAATATTTTACGATGTACATGTCAGTCTGGCAGGTTTTATTTCACCTTGACCTCATTTTTTACGGTTCATTGCTCAATGTTAAGTTTTTGTGTTTTGGTCTGTTCTTCTTAAAACTTTAAGCAATAGGTCAACTATATTTGGTGTATGGAATGATTGTAAGGTGTTTATGTCTGTCTGGCAGGTATCATCTGACCTTCATGTGTACATGTATATCCGGCTTGGTTTATCTGACCTTGACCTCATTTTCTTGGATCATAAATGTTAATGTGATACTTGTAGTAAAACTTTATATGTAGGACTATCAGCATAAAAACAATGGTCAGTATAGTAGGCGAGACATTTCAGCGTGTGCACTCTTGTGATAATAGATGGACTCACTTTTTAAGTCAACATTACACTTTTACACTGACAGCAGTAATTGCAGGCGAGACATAGGGTTCCGCAGAAGCCCTTTCAAATTTTTCTATTTTTTATTCTGAAAAGGTTATAAGATTGTCAGTATGTCCCTGCTCATCCTCTTTAGTTTCTTCATGCAGCTTAAATAACTGAGATCCATTCACTTCTCAGTCCTTACTGCTGAACGGACGTGCTGGATCAGCTCCTGATTATCCGCAAACTACAACGTGTAATGCTGATCGTATGGTTCAATGACACACTACTATGTCTACAGCTAACTAACTGAATGCCCTACAGTAACATATTTTGGTCCTCGTCAGAATAAACTCCAAAATCCATTGTGGATGGGGGAGTGTATTGCCGAACAAAATCAACATATGCAAAACCCAACTTTATGACAACAACAATATTCTAAAGCTCACCAAATGCCTTAGGGCACCAAGCTGACTGTGTGAGGGCTTAATAGCCAGTTAAGATCGTAAAACACACCCACTCAGTTTGAGATCTGAATCAAACATGAATTACTGTAAAAAAGGGACATTTCTTTCTCCTTTTCTTTTTTTCATTGATTTTTTTCCTATTTTCAGTCTCTCTGTTGTGTTGATAAAAAGGGAATTTTATCTTGGCCTAATCCTACAGCAGAAAAGGTCTTCTTTCTTTCCTCCAACACAAAGAAACCTGCAGAGGAAAGCATTGCTGTTAATACAAGCTTTAGTAGTGGTGAAAAATCTAAAATCCAAACTTCAGGTTAGTAAAAAAGCATTACCTTTTAGCATAAATAAAATAAAACATCTTTCATGACCAGCTATTTAAAATCCACTTTAAAATGTTAAAAATCTTCTCCTCAGAAACTACTTGGCCAAATTTAACCAAATTTGGCCACAAGCATCATTTTGGTATCTTGTTTAAAAAAATATGTCCAATGACCTTAACTACCAACCAACATAGCTGACATGGCTAAAAATAGAACAAAGGGGTAAAATGCAAGTTTTGTCTATTATTTGGAAAAATCTCTATCAATAGAGATTATTTGACAGAGGCAGAAATTTCCAGATCTACCTATTGTCTATTTCCCTCAAATCTGTCAGACGGCTTCTTATAGGAGTTATTGCCCTTTAATAAATGACATATTTTTCCATTTTTTTCACTTTTGCCTATTATCGTGAAAACTATAATAGATAAAGAGAAATTTAAAGTAGCAAAAATAATCAGCAAGACAAGATATACAAACAAGTCAACATGGCTAAAATCATCCAACAACTCCTTATTGGAGTTATTGCCCTTTGGTGACAATTTTTACCATATTTTTGCATTTTTGCATTATATCATAAAAATTATGATAGAGGGATAGAAACTTAAATTAACATAACTGATCAGCAAAATAATATCTTCAAACAAATCAACATGGACAAAATCATCTGACGACTCCTTATTAGAGTTATTGTTCTTTAATGACGAATTTTAAGTGTTTTTACGTAACATCTTAAAAACTAGAATAGATAGATGGAAACTTAAATAAGCAAATATGTTCAGCAGCAAGATCTACAAATAAGACAGCATAGCTGAAATAGTCCGACAACTCCTTATTGGAGTTATTACCCTTTAATGACAATTTTTACCAATTTTTTGAGTTTTTGCCTAATATCATAAAAACTATTAAAGATAGATGGATACTTATAAATCAAAAAAGATTAGCAAGACAATATGTACAAATAAGTTAACATTATCAAAATTGTATGTTGACTCCATATTGGAGTTCTTGCTCATTAATGACAATTTTTACAGATTTTTTTGCGTTTTTGCCTATTATCTAGAAAACTATAATAGATAGGCACTTTAAATAATAAGAATGATCTTCAATACAGGATTTACTTATAAGTTTGCAAGTCCAAAATCATCAGCCAACTCCATTTAAGAGTTATTTCCCTTAAATGATGATTATTACCATGATTTTACCAATTATAATGAAAACTTTAATAGATAGATAGAAACTTAAAAATTAAAATGATCAGCAAGACAAGATCTACAAATATGTCAACATGACTCAAAATGGTCAGCTCTTTATGGAGTTATTACCCTTAAATAATTATTTTTACCCAAAATGGCCATTGTTGAAGATGCAGATGAGCGACACAGGCTCTCTAAAATACTCTCATCATTTTTTGTCTCAATCTGTGAAATAATAAATGAAATACATAATAAACAGACTAAAACTTACTTCAAAAAGTACTTAACTACATGAAACTGGTTTAATTAACAACAAAAACACTATTATATACACTCTTATACTAGCTTCTGTTTTTCTGAGTTATAATCTCCAGAGATGTCATGAACAATGCAGAAATACTATCTAGTGCTATTTCAAAAGTAAATTAATGTGCAGATACAGGCAAGAAATAAACGAACAATTTAATTATGTTTCAAATTGTAAATAAAAAGAAGTTGCTATTAATAAAAAAAATATAAGATGCAATTTTATCATTGCAACTTTATTATTTGATCTTTTAAGGGCATACGATACAGTAGAGATCCCTTGTTGATTTTTTCTTGAAATTTTGGTAGAAGGTCAATTTCGATGTGTACTTTTGAAATATGCAAAGAAAAATATACCTTCATGACTTACTTTTTGAGATATTTTGGTTCGAAATTTGCATATTTGAAGGAAAAACCCTGAAATTTCATAAATAAGGACTTTTAAGGAAAGTACCAATACTTTTGAACGAACAGTCATAATTTAATTGGGTTTTTTGTAAAATGTTCCCTTGATCCATGGCATCAGTATGCTGTAACAAGTTAACGGTTGAAATAAATAATTATATCCTAAATTCTTTTAATACAAGTGAAATAAAGAAGTTGAAAATATTTTTGCGTCTACACAGAAGTGCAGAAAAAATTCTATCGTTGATTTTTTCTTAAAATGTTGGCGGAGCGTTTTCGAAACAGAACTTGATCGATTGCAAAAGAAAAAACTGGGGGTCCATGTGCTTGTTTTTTCAATAAAAGCAATAAACCTTAATTTTTATTGGCAAATGGGACGTTTGCCAATAAGGCGCCAAACTACGTTGGGATAAGTTTTATTCGCAACAACGTCGTGAAATCTTTCCCGCCGTTCACTATACTACGTTGTAAATTTCAGTGGTAGAGCCAAGGTGTTTTTTTATTAAACCAATGATATTAATCATGAAAATTAATAAAGCTGGCTCCTCGTAAAATAGCATCATATTTGCCAAACCTTTATGAATTGTTTCGAAACTCGGATAGAAAAAGTATTCTAGTAATATAAAAGAGGGACGAAAGATACCAGAGGGACATGTAAACTCATAGATCGAAAACAAACTGACAACGCCATGGCCAAAAATAAAAAGACAAACAGACAAATAATAGTACAGATGACACAACAGTGAAAACTAAGTCTAAGCAACTATACCCCACCAAAAACTGGGGGTGATATCAGGTGCTCCGGAAGGGTAAGCAGATCCTGCTCCACATGTGGCACCCGTCGTGTTGCTTATGTTATTACAAATATAAAGTAAGGGGGATGATATTAATCATGAAAATGAATAAAGCTGGCTCCTCGTAAAATAGCATCATATTTGCAAAACCTTTATGAATTGTTTCGAAACTTGGATAGAAAAAGTATTCTAGTAAATTACTTTTAGAAAAGAAATGTTCGGAAACAAAACAGATATATATAATAAAAAAAAATAATTTGCATCTCTGTCCGACATTAGTCATACAATTCATGTAGACAACACAGCTTGAACATAGTTTTAATTATTCAAAAGGCCCCACCATGACAAAATGTGCAACAATTATAAAGTAAGGGGGATGATATAAACATAAGGACATTTGGTATGATTGCAAACTATCAACCATAGTTCAAATGACGAAGATAAACGCTATTAAAGGTCACCCTACGGCCTTCAACACAAAAAAAAAAGAAAAAAAAAAAGCCACACCGTATAGTCAGCTTTAAAAAGCCCCGACATGAAAATGTGAAATAATTCAAACTAGAAAACTAACGACCTACTCTATAGGCATTACATGAACACAACATCATACCCACATTAAATCGGGTCAGCTTAGTCAATTACAGTGTAGTATAACATTTCATACAGCAGTCGATATTAGAGCATGAAATTTAATGATTCTGTATCAATAGATAAGTTACCTAAGCTTGTCTTTAGGGTATTTTTTTTTTATTACGGTACATATAATCATTGAATTACTTGTCTGTATTATACCTTCAATCTAGGAGTGAGTGCAACCACATTGTTTGTCCGGTCCAACAAATATTTTGTTTCTTATCTGAGAAACTACTTTACAAAAAGACTTCGTATTTGGTCAGTAACTTAACATCAATGAGGTGCAACTCTGATCTGTCAAATACCTAATTCCTGTGTGCCGATTTTTCTCTCTCAATATGTACAAAGAGGATATGCTTATCACATCAACGGGTGCGTTTTTGTTTTTGGTCTATAATACGGGGCTTATAACTGAGTCATTTTAACTGACAATTCTTCTTCATACACTTATATATTCCACGGGTTAAATTCTAAAAATGCCGTTAAACTCTTTAATGTACCTTTTCAAAGTCAGGAACAGTAAGATGCGCTGTCATTATTTATTACGTTTTTTTGTCATTTTGTTGATAGTTTCTGATGAATTTATCCGTACAATTCTCATTACGACTTAGAGTTAGCTAAATGGTGAAGTTACTATATAAATTACTTATGTTTTTTTCTTGTGTACTTGGGTTTCTCTCTCATCGACGTCTTATGTTTTTCATATCTCTAATTCATTTCCTATATGAAATAACAGACATAGAAAATTAAGAATGTGGATTTGATTTTTTTCCCATTCGAAGTTAATATTGTTGACTTCCTTATTAATGAATCAATATAACAATTCTCGTGATTTGGCTGATTTTCATTGCAGGTACTTTTTTCAAATTCGCGCAATCGGGATTATGACGTCAGTGGATTTCCGCAAATGTGACTACATCTAAAGCGACGACGCGAAATGTAATCGTTCTTATTAGAAACATCGCGAAATTACAACGTTCTGATTAACAACGTCGCTAAAACAACACAAAAAGTTTTGAAAACGTTATTATCTGCCCCTGCTACTGTATCGTATGCCCTTAAGGATGTACTTGGGTTAGGTTTAGGAATTTTTGTCAGATTTTTGGACTCCTTGGTTTTTTTCCTACGATACAGGGTAAAATATTTTGCCCCATAACACCCATTTTTCTTTCCATATAAGACTTCAATAGTTCATAAAAGGTCATTTACTAAAATTTAAGCAGATTCTAGATTTCTTTTCTTTCGATTTGAGACCCAAATAATGCCAATGCAAATATAAGGTAAAAGTCCGAGTCATTTTCCCGCCATTTTAAAAAGATTAAATATCTCAAAGGGAGCTCCATTACCTATCAATATTTTTAGCCTATTTTGTTTCTTAACTAATGCTCTTCTGACTTATAGTTTCAATTTTAAATTCTAGATTTTTTTAATTTCACCTAAGTACATCCTTAAAGCAATTTGTGAAGCCAAAAAAAGATTAAAAAGACAATTCTTAAAATTGTATGCTGTATAAAAGATGTTATCGTAAATTTATAAAGAAGACATTTTTGTTGAATAAAGTGAATGTGATTTTCCCTTTCAAATACTGGTTATTTGAAGCATTACTGTCAAGTTTTGTCATAATCAGTTCAAAAATGTGATAGAAGTTTAGTATAATGTAAGATGACATCTACAGTGATTTGAACAAAATATCTTAGAGTACTCCAAATCACAGTTCATCATGAGAAGTATAGTGTTTACCAATAAATGATCAAATATTCATCTCATCTGCATAAAGATAGTTGAATATGATACAAAAGATGAGGTTAATATGATAAACACAATGTACCCTTTTGTCTTCATTATAAGGTCTGTTTTAGTCCATTTATACCTCATTTCCTCAAAATTTCAATTTTTGTCTCGCCTTGAAGGAGTCAAAAAGCGAGACATAGGTATGTCTGCGGCGACGGCTACAGCGAAGGCGGCCGCGGCATCAACACTGTATTAGTTTGTGACCGTTAGGGGTAGGTCAATGATATTTGGTATGCAGTTGTATTAGCATTGGCACATCTCATTACCATGGGGATTATTTGGCCCCACCCCCTCAATCAAGGTCTATTGACTTTGAAACTTTTCATAGTTTACATGTATTAGTTCGTGATTAGGTCAATTTATGGGGAACCACTAGTGGTAGGTCAATGATATTTGGTATGCAGTTGTATAAGCATTGGCATATCTCATTTCCATGGAGATTATTTGGCTCCGCCCCCTTAGTCATGGTCTATAGACTTTGAAAATTTTGCTAAGTTAACATGTATTAGTTTGTGATTAGGTCAGTTCAAGGGGAACCATTAGTGGTAGGCCAATGTTAATTGGTGTTCAGTTGTATAAGCATTAGCACATCTCATTTCCATGGAGAATATTTGGCCCCGCCCCCTCAGTCATGGTCTATTTACTTTGAAACTTTTGCTTAGTTTACATGTATTAGTTTGTGATTAGATCAGTTTAAGATGAACTGCTGATGTTAAGTCAATGATATTTGGTATGCAAATTTATTGGCATTTGCAAGTATCGTTTCCATGGAGATTATATAGCCCCACCCCTGATCATGGTTCATTGACTTTGAAACTTTTACATAGTTTACAAGTTAATGTTTGTGTTTAGGTTTGTTAAAAGGGAACGACTTATAATAAGTCAATGGTATTTGGTATGCAGTTGTATTAGCATTGGCGCATCTCATTTCATGGAGATTGTTTAGCCATGTACCTTCAGTCATGGTTCATCGACTTTAAATATTTGCATGACTTACATGTTAAAGTATTGCTATTTTGATTTTCATTATTTGCATTATCAAAATTACAAAAAGGCAAGACATATCTCTGTGATAACAGTTTATTTAGGGTAATAATTAAAAAAAATTGGGTTGACTATCACACATTTATGTAAGAAATGTGATAATAATAGGGTAATTGAAGTGTTCAAGCTGAATGAACTATACATATAAAAGTTAACTGACACCATTGAGTCAATAAGTCATTTATATGTAAAACTTAAGTTTATGCCTCATTCCAGAGAGGGACATATAATAGTTCCCTTTTAGTAAATAATTTGTTGTTACTGCTTCAAAAATCATTTTATTAACTTATTACTGTATATCTCTTAAAGAATTACTAAGGAAAATGTGTTCTTTTATATCCCAATATAGGACATAAGGAGAAAAAGTCGTCTTAAAGAAATACGAAGGAAAATGTGTTCTTTTATATCCAAATATTAGACATAAGGCGAAAAAGTCGTGAAAAGCTCCCCAAAACACTGAGTACTGCTTGTTCTGCCTACAAATATTCATGGTAGAACCTATTTCAAAGCAATTTTCCCTCAAATGTGTCTTTGAGACTCAATCCACTCAGAATATTTCAATTTTTGCAATATTTTGCAACGGTCAAATTCACAGGAATATTTTTTTTTACCAATTTTTTTGTATGAAACTGGATGTGACATACTGTGTTTTGGTGGTATTACACCTAAAATGTGAAATACCACTATGCATGTATATTGATTTCTTAGTATTGGAACCCCTATATTTTTTAATGAAATTCTGTTAAAGTTTTGTCAAATGTTTAATATATGTACTTGTGCTTTTTATCAATTTACAAACTATTTTGACCATACTGTTTGTTTCAGCATATGGATCATTAAGTCATACTGAAGTTCTTGATCTTACTCATCATTCTAAGGTATGTGTTTTATTTTTCAAATTCTTTTATTTTATCACTTGATATATCTTGTGATGAACTTTGACTCCCCTGGCCTAATGGGCTGTGTGTGCTATTCCATCACCTGAGATCTGTTGTAAGTGTAAATAATCCTTGTAAACTTTAGAAAAATTTTGTCCTGAAACTATTTTTCCAATTTTAACCAAAATTGCCTACAACCAAGTCATTTAACTCGGATGGATAGTAAAATCATAAGTCATTTTAGAATGGCAAGATTTACGAATTTTCATTTCCACCAAAACTATCAGATTACTCCTCATTAGAAAAGGGCCTTTTACTGATGATTTATTACATATTTTAGCATTGTTGTCCACTAACTTGAAAACTATAGAAGTTTGGCAGAAACAGAAAAAATATTATCAGCAGTTTAAGTTGTAAAAAAAAATTACCAATTTTCTGATATCAAGTGACTATTGTTGACAAATTTTAGCATTACTGTTTATTATCTTGAACAGGTATAATAGATAGACAGAAAGTGAAAACAGCAAAAACAATCAGCAATACAATCTATATATTCATAAGTGTAAAAATGTCAGAAACCATTACAATGTAATTGACATTCTCCAGGAGTTATTGCCCTTAAATGATAATTTTTTTTCGACAATAATTAATGTTTTTTTTTAAAACCTTGCAAACTTTAATAGATAGACAGAAAAGGTAAAAACGGCCTTGGTGGTCTCATGGTAGCCCTGCTCACCTTGAGTGTGGGAGGTTGTGGGTTTAATCCCCAGCTTTGTCAAACCAAAGATTTTTAAAATTGGTAGTTCTGCTTCTATGCTAAGCACCTGGCATTAAGGAGTAAAAGCAAAGATTGTTTGACTTGGATTCAGGATCAGCATGTCTGTCTAGTATAAAGTAGGCTTCATATTCATATCACATTATATTAACATGTTCTCGTTCTGATTATGTATTTAATTTGCCACTGAACTTTGAACAGCTATACATCATCAATAGAAAGTGTACACAGCAAAAATTATTAGCAGTACAATACATTTAGATATACAGGTATGCGTCGATTCACTTTTTTAGGAACTATTACTCTTAAATGACGATTTTTTGGGACAAATTTTAACTCTTTTTTATAGGACTTAAATAATGTTTTTTGACCAACTCACATTAAACTGTCAACATCATAAATAATCAGCAGGATTGGATTTAAAAAAAAGTGCTCATATCACTCAAATCATCAATTAAATGATCATAGGAACTATAGGCCTTTAATGACAATTTTTTCCGCTAACGTTAGCATTTATGCCTATTATTTAGCAAGCTATATCAGATGGAAACTGATAACAACAGAAATAGTATAGTTTGCTAGATAACAGACATAAATGCTAATATTGGGGAAAAAATTAATAATTGAAAAAATCCAGTCATAAAACACAAAACAGTTTTTTAATCATTGTTGAACCATGAAAATGAGCTGAAGGAGAATTAACATATGTTAGAGAGAAACTTAATATATATCAATTTCAATGGAGACTATTATGCCCACCCCCTCATTTATGGTCTATTGACTGAAACTTTTACTTACTTAACATGTATTAGTTTGTGTGATTAGGTCAGTTTAAAGGGAACCATGAGTGGTAGGCAATGATATTTGGTATGCAGTTGTATGAGAATTGGCACATCTCATTTCCATGGAGGTTATTTGGCCCCACGATCACCCCTTCAGTAATGGTCTACTAACTTTGAAAATTTTGCTTACTTAACATGTATTAGTGTGTGATTAGCTCAGTTTAAAGGGAACCTCTGGTGGTAGGTCAATGATATTTGGTATGCAGATGCATAAGCATTGGCACATCTGTTTTCCATGGAAGTCATTTGGCTCCATCCCCTCAGTCATGGTCTGTTGACTGAATGTTTTGCATGGTTTACATGTTAAAGTTTGTGATTAGATCAGTTTGAGAGGAACCACTATTGTTAAGACATATCTCTGTGTCAAAACTTTATAACTTACTAAATATGATACTAGTACTGAAGACAATGAGATAATTTATTGGTCTTTTTGAATGGACTCCAAAAGCTGTATATTTAAAAATTGGTAATTTGTTTCTGCAAAAGAAGTAAAAATAAATATCAGATTGGCAAGTTACTGCAAGGTGAGATTTTCAGGCTCTAAGGAGCCTCATATTGGTAAACTTTTACAACTTTTGCTTATTATCTTGGGAAAGACTATAACATTTAGACAGAAAATTTTATCAGCCAAATGAATAAGCAGTACATGAACTACAAATAAACTGTTAACACAGATAGAGATATGTCTCGCCTATTTGTTATTTTGATAATGCAAATGTTGAAATTAAAATAGAAATACTTTAACATGTTAGTTATGCAAATATTCAAAGTCAATGAACCATGACTGAAGGTACAGGGCTAAACAATCCCCATGGAAATGAGGTGTGCCAATGCTAATACAACTGTATACCAAATACCATTGACTTTTCATAAGTTGTTCCTTTTAAACAACCTAAACACAAACATTAACTTGTAAACTATGTAAAAGTTTCAAAGTCAATGAAACATAATGAGGGGGTGGGGTTATATAATCTGCATGGAAATGAAACTTGCAAATGCCAATACATTTGCATACCAAATATCATTGACTTAACATTAGCAGTTCATCTTAAACTGACCTAATCACAAACTAGTACATGTAAACTAATCAAAAGTTTCAAAGTCAATAGACCATGACTGAGGGGTAAGGACCAAATATTCTCCATGGAAATGAGATGTGCTCATGCTTATTCAACTGCAAACCAATTATCATTGACCTACCACTAATGGTTCCCCTTAAACTGACCTAATCACAAATTAATACATGAAAACTAAGCAAAAGTTTCAAAGTCAATAGAGCATGACTGAGGGGGAGGGGCCAAATAATCTCCATGGAAATGAGATATGCCAATGCTTATACTAACTGAATACCAAATATCATTGACCTACCACTAGTGGTTCCCCATAAACTGACCTAATCACAAACTAATACATGTAAACTAAGCAAAGTTTCAAAGTCTAAAGACTATGACTGAGGGGGCGGGGTCAAATAATCTCCATGGTAATGAGATGTGCCAATGCTAATACAACTGCATACCGAATATCATTGACCTACCACTAGTGGTTCACCATAAACTAGACCTAATCACAAACTTATACGCCGCCACCGCCAGAAACAGCAAACTTATGTCTCGCTTTTTGACTCCGTCAAGGCGAGACAAAAATGACTGTTTATATATAGGAGTCATTGGTCTTTAATCACAAATTTTTACAAATTTTATTTAAAATCAAAAATGATCAACAATACAAGTTCTACAATTAAGTCTCATTACTGAAGCTATCAATTGATTGTTTATGTGAGTTGTTGCTCCATAATGCTTACTTTTACCAATAATTTGCTTTTTTATTCACCTCTGAAACTTCTTCAATAATTTAAAGCAATCATGACCTGACTGATCATAATATGTCTAAATTTCATTTGTGAAATATATTACAATTTGCATACAATATTGACACCTTGACTAAAAGTAGAAATCAGGGGTAAAATGCAAATAATTGTATAATTTCTTGAAAACTGTAGTAAATGGGTAAACTCTAATAGGGGTAAAAATGCTTGGATATTCAAGATCAACTGGTAATCCGTCAAAACAGTCCAACAATTCCGTATTGAAACTATTGTCTTCATTTGATGATTGTATTGACTTTCAGAATTTTTGGTTATTATCTTTAAAACAATAGTAGATAAAGAAACTGTAAACAACAAAATTAATAAATTATCAAAAAGATCTAAAAATTATGAATTATATTTTTTTGTCAAAATATCAGTATTGCATATTTTTGCCAGATGAGCGATTCTGGCTCCTTTATGCCCCTTATTTCAATATGTGGTTCCAAAAGGGACAATGATGTTTTTTTGAATGTATTTTGAACATCAAACAATATTATTTTCCTCATGTTTGATTAAAGTAAGGGCCAGAAACATACTTAAATTTTTTTTTTTTTTTAACTTTTTGTAGATGTAATACTTTTAATTCAGTTACTATGGATAAACCTAATATTGTAAGAATTTGGGATAAATCAATTATTTCATGGATACCTTGTTTTGGTTCTGATTTATTATTTTAAAATTTAAATGTCCATAGTGAAAACAGATATTTTTTCCTGCTTTATCCCTCCAAATCCACATGAAAAATGGACAATTTCCAGTTATTCTGGATGCAATATTTTTATAACAGCGAATACATATACATTCAATTATCACATCTACAAAGATCTAGTCAATAGTCCAAACTATATATATAGAAATGTATCCTGTTCCTAATGAGATTTTTTTAACATTTAATTAGGGATGGCGATAATTTTCCATCCTATATGGTTGTCATAGGTGTTAATATAGTAACATAAAATCAAAATAAATTTGGTCAAGTATCAAAATGTGTTAACTTTATTGATTTTATATTAGGCACATGAAATATTAATATTCTGTACATGAAGTATTGATATTAGGTTCATGTTCTACAGATATTAGGTACATGTACTATTGATATACTATTGATATTAAGTGTATGTACTATTGATGTACTATTGATATTAGGTACATGTACTGTTGATATACTATTGATATTAGGTACATGTACTATTGATGTACTATTGATATTAGGTACATGTTCTATTGATATTAGGTGTATGTACTATTGATGTACTATTGATATTAGGTACATGTACTATTGATGTACTATTGATATTAGGTACATGTACTGTTGATGTACTATTAATGTTAGGTAAATGTACTGTTGATATACTATTGATATTAAGTGTATGTACTATTGATGTACTATTGATATTAGGTGCATGTACTATTGATATTAGGTACATGTACTATTGATGTACTATTGATATTAGGTACATGTACTATTGCTGTACTATTGATATTAGGTGTATGTACTATTGATGTACTATTGATA